TATATTATTGTCAGTTGGATTCGAAAGTGGACAAGGGGCGGCGATCAAGCATCAAATGTGACCAGCCAGACACTCGATCATCGACCAATCAAAACTCACCACACGAATCAAGGAGCCAATCAAATCTCTTTTCTCGCTTCACCAGTCCACAGTCGAAATTCGTGTATATAGTCGTGAGACAGCTGATCGATTTTTTTTTACTTACAACAAATCAGGAAGGGGATTACCAATTCTCGACAATATATATATATATATAATATATACAAATACATACCGTGTCGGCGCCCGTCAAGTTGATACCCAGTCCCCCGCTGCGAGTCGATAAGATGAAGCAAAACACCTACCCAAATCCCAAGTATATGTCATTATATTTTGCAAACTCGTGTCATAAAATATGTAATATATTTGGTATAAGTTGTCCATACATTAATACTCATAATACTAGCTCAATATATATTTATATATATCGTACCTTGGGGTCGGTGTTGAATTTATCCATCAACCGCTGCCGCTGTTCCACGGGGGTCGACCCATCCAGTCGAAAGTACGTGTGCCTATCCATGTCATCATCCCATCAGAACATAATATCTCCAATTTCACCTTTTATATAATGTATATAATATTTATATATACATCTAAACACGTTGATCCCAGCCATCAACATAAATATGTATATCTATATCATACATTCATCTCTCAACACATTTATACCAACGATCCATATACAAATATATATTTAAATATATATAGAATGCTACAACTCTTCCTTTTTCCAAATAAAAGAGGAGGTTTAAATATTCAATTAAGAAATATATATTACCCGTGGACGTTGAGAAATATCTCTAGAATATTCAGCATGGAGCTCATTTGCGAAAAGATAAGGCACCGATGGCTGCCCCGCTTGAGCTCACGCAGCAGTCTGTCCAGTTGCTGCAGCTTGCCACAGTCGAATTGAATGAGTCGCTTGTCTGGAAAGTACAAATGCTGCCGCTGCGTGATTGGGTGGAGCATCGTCCACGCTGGGTCCAGGGCCGCATGCAGCTACACAAACCATCATGGAAAATTGTGGGTAAAATGCACATTATATATATATATATAAACCCCACGGAGTCGTCTTGAACAAGTAAGAACTATATATTGTCAAAGCGATTCGAAACTGGAGCCATCAGCAGAATAACCAATCGAATGTCTGAATGGATTCAAGAACGACCAATCAAATCACGTCCTGTCGAATATATTCAGCCAATCCAAACGTACAATTGACACGACCGACTCTGTCCCTCCGCATCTTTGTACAGTATATTAGTATGTACTAGCTTAATTTCGATCAAATGGTTTCGAATGGTATTTGGCGAAATGACTCACAAGTCCAAATTTGGGTGAAATCCACAATATATATATATATAGTGCATTTCATACATATATAAACCTCAGAGAGTCGTCGTGAACAAATGTATAGGTAGGTGTACACCTATTTACCTGATCGTTGGTTTCTTTCGAGTGCAGTGCGTCCTGCACCCGCCCAGCACTCAACGTGGACCCGACCACTAGCGTCGGCGCCGTCGTTCGAGCTTTGTGCACAAAGCAGAGTACTTTCAGCATGATCTCGAGCCAGTCGTTAAGGCGAGACGTGGGCGACTGGACCATCGCAGCCAACGCAGTACTGGTCGCCTTGCCAACTTTGTTGTGGACGTCCATCGCTGGCGAAATAAATACCTATACCCGTTTGTTAGAGTATTCATTACCACTCTCCAAGTGTACTAACACATATAAAACTATAATATCAGCCATGATATTAGATATATACACATACTAAACATAAATGGCCAGACCCCAATATATATATATATATATATATACAGTATGTGTGAAAGTATTATTAGGTCCATGCAATCCCAAATTGGATTGGAGATTATAATGTATACACACTCTAGGACGACACGAATTGTGCCTTGTTCAATACGCGCCAATATTCACCATAGTACCAATGTCAGGTTGAACGGGGAATATATAAAAAATATATAAATATATATATATACATGCAACATCACCAAACGGACCTGACCAGAGTCAATACTAAGAATAATAATCATACTAATAATAATAATAATGTCAATAATGAAAAACATACACACACGCAACACCTGTCAAGAGCCATTTCTAAGACTAATATAATAATACTACTCATAATGAAAAAACATAGGATCATATCTCCTCCTTCATAAATATATATATAAATATATATATACGCAATATCATGACCAAACGGACCACCCGACAAGAGCCTAAACGAAGTACAATACGAATAATACTATGAATAATAATAAAAAACAGTATCATAATATATCTCGTCGATTCATACCGGCATGGTCGCGATACGCAGCAGTTCATGGGATATAAATGGGGTGGTTTCCATGCATCGCCAGTGGTTGATCCAGGCATTGGCAGTTGCTTTCGCCCGTGTAGCTGCCTGTCGCAGGGTTTTCTGCTGGGTGGCAAAATTCCACAGTGTCGCATACTGTTGTAGCCATTCTTCTTGTTCTTCTTTCTCAAGTGGTGCCATAGATACATCGTCGATAAACACTTGGACAGACGGCGCCAACGTCCGCCTTGCCTGCCAAGCCACCTCGGATGTAACCAACCCATTATCTGGATAAAAACAGCCCAGTGTGCGACGATGTCGGCCGACGACTGCCAAGTTTGCAAACGGATATGACACTGTGAGCGGCGCCATGTCGAACGGGCACAGGACCGGGCGCGCTTCAAACAGATCCGGATGGTTGCATACCTTGCGCAACTGCATGAGTACGTTCATCATGCCCATAAAGTTGCCCCCCGACAGCGCCTTGCGTGTACTGGATCGCGCCATAAAGTCTTCATATAGGAACCGCTGCCGTTTCGATAACGAGCACACGACCACGTGCTCAAACTTGCCAGGCTAGAAAATACACATATATCTCGGCTTGGTATAAAATGTACATATGTATATAAGGATCACGTGAAAAGAGGTTTTGATTATATTGTGAATGTATGTATACAAGATAGCTTAAACCCACAATAGACATATAAGATATATATATGTGAGTGGAGGAGGCGAAATACATTCGTATATATGAAGTAGAAGAAAGAAGAATATATCTGACAGTGGAAATAAAATATAAAAAATGTTAAGAATATTACATACAAAAAAGCATATGCGTAATATAATATTTAAAAAACATGTAGAGGTTATATTTCAACAAAACGTTGAATTACATGGGGCAAAGATACTGCAGGAGGCAAAATAATATATATATTAGAATCATCATTCGATATATATTTGCATGTGATACGTGAATCGATCTATACCATTTGCTTGGCGACATCTTTTTTCAACCGGCGCAACACAAACGGCCGAATGATATTGTGCAATCGTGACACTAGTTGGTCGTTCACGGCCGCTTCCCCTTCCACCTACAAGTCCCAGCAAATATTCAATACAATATATATATATATATATACATCGTTGCTCGACCGTGTTCGACGCAATAAATAACTATTCCAACCAAATTAAACACTAAATCTGCCAATTTTCCATATAAATAAGCAGCGCAAAACAGTCGTACATACCATGGCATTCATGGGGGTGCTGAACCAGTGGCTGAATTGAGCTCGCGACCGAAACAAATGTGGCATTAAAAAGTGCATCAACGCCCACAATTCCATCAAATTGTTTTGCAATGGCGTGCCTACACATATACACCCAAATCGTTTCGGTTACTATCAACACTCTCGCTATAATTAATACTGACTCTATCGCAGTATCACATGGAATATATATATATATATATATATATATTATATACCAGTGAGCAACAGCCGACGCTGTGTGTTGAACGTAAGCAGGGTCTGCCATCGCTGCGACTTCCAGTTTTTGATATTGTGCGCTTCGTCGAGGATTAAATAGTACCATTTCTTGCGCTTAAAGCAGGGCGCATCCGCCACCACCAGCTGGTACGACGTAATGCACACTTGGAAAGCATTTACTTTGGACCATCCGAGTCTAAATATTAATAGTTACACAAGGTGCATTCGTGTCATTTGAAGGGATATTATATATATTGAGTTTGTTATGAACATGCACGTGTAGTATACCGCAACTCTTTACGCCGCTTGGCACTGCCGTAATATGTCATGACCTTGAACCCAGGGCACCACCGTTTGAACTCCATCTCCCAATTCAAGATGCACGACGTCGGCACAATCACCAAGTGCGGCCCCCATAACCTATGAATAGATAACATAAATGGAGCAAACAAATAATACAACCGAATCAAGATATATATATGATATATATATATACCCTTGAACGTTATACGACAACTACTGGACTATATATGATGATGATGTCACGAGGCATTTGTAAATGTGATTTCCACATGCACCTGGTTTGCGTTACAATGTCACCAACAGGTAAAGTAGAACACAAGCAATCCCGTCCTACTATTCATATATATATATATATAACAAGCTATCCCATCCTACTATTCATATATATATATTCGACAAGAAGTATAAAATTAGAAATGATGCTCATACATTGTACAAAGTAGAACATAGGAATCCCATCCACTCAAACTATCCAAATATACATATATATATTAATATATATATACGCCATAAGAAATATAAAAGTACGAATGATGCTGTAAAACAACAGTGTACAGTAGAAACATAGCCATCCCATCCGACTGTTCATATATATATATATATATTCCACAAGACAGATATATAGTTCGTACCCTTCCGTGGCCAGCGCCGCCAAGAGCGAAATCGTCTGGATGGTTTTGCCCAGTCCCATCTCGTCGGCCAGAATCCCATTCATGCGGTTGTGTGCCAACGACAGCAGCCACGCCACACCTACAACATCACACAACTCAAATGTCATATAATATAGTAGTGCATATCATGATCCAGTCATTCGAAAATAGATATCGTTCAAAGAGCATCATATTATCGGCACAATAGAATATAGCCAACCAATCCGATGTCAGGTAAACCAGGATCCTTGAAGACCTCGGCAGAATCAAATATCTGAAGAGAATGGATGAAAAAGAACCGTCTAAGCCAATCAAATCACGTACTGTCGAATATATTCTGCCAATCCAAACGTTTGATTCGGCCCAGTCCCTCCACATTCGGGAAAACCATATATATATATATACTTTAATCGTTGTACAGTATAGTGTGTACAAGAATAAATAGGATCAAAAAATAGATTCGAACGCTACATATTTGGCAAAATAACTCCCAAGTCCAAATTTGGGTGAAATGCGCCATATCGATCGATCTCAAGATTTGGCGAATCGCAGCAGCAGCAGCCCAAAACAATTCCAAATGAATCAAATAAAAACCCATAAACAAATAAAAAACCCATAAACAAATAAATAAAATAAATAAATAAAAACCAAATAAATATTGGGATTTATTCTACTCATATTTTCCTCCTCTGACAGTTGGTTGAATCAACCACCAAACAATTGTTCGCCGGACCTTTGAAATTTCATATAAAAGTCAGTTGAAGAGGTACATATCGTTGGGACTGTAATCCATCATTTTAGCCAATCATACTGCAACCTATATGTTCTTTTGAGCCAATCATACTCGTTTGTTCGATTTTCGATATTTATTGAATCCCCCAAACCAGGCACATAAACCAAATATATAATCAAATAACAAAATAGGCACATAAACCAAATATATAATCAAATAACGACGTACCCGTAGCTTGATATGCTCGCAAGTGCAGCGTATGATGCAGTAGAAACGGACGTTCGAGGCCCACTTGCGTCCACACATCATTGGCGTCATCTGTTAGTGGTACCATGTCCGACATCCTCTTGCTGGTGGCCCTCTTTGTTCTGCTAGTCTCTACAGGCGCGGTTTGAGCCAGCGTCGTCGTGCCATGCATGTCTTCTTCTTCTTCTTCGTCCATGATCGCCGCATACTTGGCGCGCAAGGCTTCAATGGACAAGGTGCTTTCTTCCTGAAGTAACTGGACTTCCATGTCCACGTCTGCCTTGGACTGGAACTGTTCCTCGGCTTCAATCGTACTTTCATCATCTGCTGCTTCTTCTATATCGTCCATTTCAAAGTCGCCATCCGACTCGGTACCTTCTGCTTGTCCACGGGTCTGTATCCTCGTCTTCTCGTCCAAATTTATCGCGGGGGTTACATCCTTATTCCAGGCTAAATCATCTCCATCTTCTCCCTCTTCTTCTTCCTCTCCTTCTTCCATGATCGCCGCGTACTTGGCGTGCAAGGCTTGAATGGACATCGTGCTTTCTTCTTGAAGGAGCGCGACTTCCATGGCCACATCTGCCTTAGACTGCAACTGTTCCTCGGCTTCAATCGTACTTTCGTCATCTGCTGGTTCTTCTACTTCTGAAAAGTCTGAGCCTTCTTCGTCGTACGAGATCTGGTTGTTGGCATCATGCATCATCGCATCGGCCATGGCAAACGTCGTGGCCAGCGCCGACGCGTACTTTTCCGTTTGCTGGAGTAGGAACTGGAGCTGGGTTTCCATCGATGCCTTGCGCCGACTGTCCTCGGCGGCCTTGACTTGGTGCGCCACCAACTTGTCGACCTTGAGCCAAAACTTCTTGACGTCGCGGCCCATCTTGGCGGCAAAACGCTTCCGCGCCTGCTCTTCGTGCTGCAGGGTACGCATCGCGGCCGTGGACTTTTTGCCGTGGTAGCTCGTCACGGACAAACTTAACGTCTTGGCTTTGCGAATGCGCCACTTGCGCTCCTGCGCAAAGTCCGTCGACATCCACTGCATCTCTTGCAGGAGAAAGTCCCAATGACGGAACGACGATGTCGGATTCATGGGATCGGTGGATGAAGATGGAAGCGCCGCGGGGGAGGACGACGGCGGCGCACCTACCAACGACGTCTGACTATTGCGCCGGGACAACGACGTATGTGGGGGGGGTGGCGTGTCGGCCGAGGCGTCCCCCAGCACCGTGTACCGTCGCAACTCTGCCAAAAGACGCTGTTTCTCTTGTTGCAACGCCTCCACCTCGTCGTTGTCGACCCCTGCTCCCGTGTTGTCGATATCAACTTCAGCAACGTCCGTGGACCCAACGCCCTTTTTTCGCTTGTTCGTCGGCTTTAGACCAAGATTTGACTCGGATCGAGTTCGCTTGCCTCGACAAGATCCCTTTCCTTCAATCTTCTTGTTCTGTGGACGTCGAGAAGGAGCATGCTCGCTCGCTGAGGCCGCCGCAACCACGGAATCATCGGCCATCGCTTTGGACCCCAAACTTATTCACCAAAGCAATCGCGAGTTATCCGGAAGTTCAACGGTATCCGGTATGCCGCGGATATAAATCCATGAAAAAACCTGTGTAAATGGATATTGCTCCATTGCCTGAGTCGATTCCCATTCAGTTCCTTCACATGTCAGTCACCAAAGGAGTCGTTAATAAGGTGATGGTACTCAAGACAACGTTAGATCTTGTTGATGTGACGTCTACACATTTGGAGATGCCGTACTACTTCGAAGTACTACGGTACTAGCTGTCCTGGGATATTTGTTTATAAAGGTTTATCCGTAGTTTACCGGTACAATGAGTATTCTGCGATCCATTTTTCGACCTCTGAGCGATGGACATCCTCAAGGGGGCGGCGCAGTCGGTGGTGTATGCGTTCACGTCATGCGTGGATGCGTCATATTCGCGGCGTCTTCGCGCAGAATCCTTTGAAAGCGAAGCTCCGTTCCTCGAGATGCGTGACAAAGCAACAGTGACGTCCAGCAGCAGCAAAAACGTTCACCATCTCTTGTCGACGCCGATGGATAAGTACTCGCGAATGGTGCAGGCGGGGGTGCCAACAGAAAAAGTGAAACTCAAGATGAGCATGGAAGGAATCGATCCCCAACTACTGGACCATGCAGCTGCACAGTCATATGAAACGTCTTTGTACCCCATGCAGTCAGCTCACCGGCCGCTGCAGCCGCATCAATCCCAACAACAATTCCCTACCATGTCTGTGTAATGTAAATATCTTCCTTCCCTCATTATACTATGTGTTTTCCCGATGCAGATCGTCCTGCTCAGTTGCACGTTGCTGCGTTCTGCCTAGATATGATGGCAAACGTGTGGGATTTATTATCGACCTTTGATCGTTCCTGTCCTTGGTTACCATCTCCTTCATTCGTCAAGTCATCGGAGGCCGACATCACACATGATAGAAGTACGATATACAGCGGTACGTCCACATGCCACAGGCGCTTCCATGGCATACGTTTACAGCATCGTGCACGCTAGTATGCATTCAGCAGGACACCATGACGCTTCCATGGCAAATTGAGAAATGCGCGAAGGGTGGTGTCTTTTGGTTGGTTAAAATGGCTTGAATGCACACTTTTGATTGGTTAAAACGGCCTGAAAGCACACTTTTGATTGGTTAATACCACCAAGTCAAAATGTCGATCCTACAGTGTTGTTCTTTATAAATTAGGTTTGTACTAACTATACTATATGGTCTCTTAACACCAGCCGTCGTCTTCCGCGACGTCCGAGTCGGCATCGGGGTACGTGACGTCTTTACAGAGGTGGTCGATGTCGCTTAGGGTAAAGCTCGCGTCGCCCTTGCACAGCACACTGTTCATGACACCGACAAGCGCAAGGAGGTTCCCTCGCACGACGGGAACTTGATGGGATGACGCTGCTTCTTCGTTGGGTTGGTTGTCGTCGCTTTCTTCGGACGCGGTGGATTCGTTCGAGAACCGGTTGCAGCATGCATGTTCCTTGTGACAGCATGCATGTTCCTTGTGACAGCAGACTTCGTCCTTGGCGTCGTCACTCCAATCGAAATGGCCCAGCCGTCGCCACATCGAGATGTCGTTGGAACTCAGCGCAAACACTTCGGCGCATGGACTGCCGCGGTACTTGAGGTACGTCAAGCTCTTGGTGCAGAAACCGAGAAGCTTGGTTTGTGCTGGTCGTTGGTCATGGGCGGCAAAACCTTCCGTGACGCGAACCACGAGTTCGTCTAAGGTTTCCATGGCCTCGAACTCAAACACACTGCACGGGGCGTCGCAGAACGTCACCCGCGCATCATCGGGGAGGTCTAGGAACTCGATTTCTTCTTCGATGGACTCGAGGAAGGAATCATTGCTGGCGGCGGCAGCCTCCCGCATGTTTTCGGGAGTGTTGAGGCATTCGATGGTGAAGGGTTGCACGATGTGTTCTTCGCTCGGGCCGGCGACGTCCATCTTGGACACTGTCGATCGGATCCAGCTTAAGCGGCGCTTGAGAGACTCCTGGACCTTGGAGATGTCCCAGCATCCAGACTTCTCGGTATCAAGGGAAATCGACCGCTGCATTCGATGCGGCGGTGACGGAGGGGTTGGAGAATGGAACGTTGGCGCGCCGTAGACTGGGGAGTCCATGACAATGCCTTCCGGCAGCGGTTCCTGTGGATGGTACTCTGGGTAGAACTCCCACTCGTGCGGGTCGTCGTCGAGGTCGGACGCGCGTGCGTACGTGTGTTGCTGCCGCGTGAAGATGCTTCGCGGCGCGTTGGCATTCGGGGACGTGTTCGGCGTCGACCCGAAGATCTTGTGGATGAAGTATTCCTTCATATTCAATTTGGTCAGCGATGTAGATGAGGAGGACGCTGGCTTCATGATGCCGCTGCTCCTGCTTGTTGGTTGAGTTCCTCGCTGTGGAAATCGCACTGCCCCTACGACTACCCCAATCTCCATCTGGGCATCAAATTTGAGTGTCTAACAATGACCTATGGGCATACGTTATTCAAGTTTAAATATGTCAAATATACAGTACATGGAGTGAGTAATCTATTACGACCCCAAAGTAGCCAGCATGATGTGCTGGTATGCCGGAATACATTAATCAAGGTAACATGTGATCATGTGTGTGTTTTAGGTACATTTACATAGACACGACGACAATATATAGTAGCAGGATGTCCTGGTAACATTAAGCGTTCAACTGTCGTCGCGCCTCTGACGCCAGCTCCAACTTCGATAAACTTCGATCCTGTCAACATACGGAAGAAGCGAGAAAGAAGATGCCAATCAATCAATGGACAGAGTAGTAACCTGGCAACCAAAGTTGTCAAATGCGCGACCTTGTCCTTGTTGCTGTCGTGTCGCCGTCGACTGAGGCGGCTAAGTCTAGCTCCAGCCTTGTCTCTGAATGGAGTCCTAACGACATCTGAGTTTTCTCCAAGAGAAAAGTGTGCGAATGCATGCGATGCGCTCATATGGTGCTAAATGGGTGCGGTGCAAAGGCAACTCTGGTGTAATTTCAGAGAAGAACCAAACTTACAAATCGTCGCCACGGTTTGACAGTGAATTGAACGAACTAACTTACTGTAGTACTCTCAAAATGTGTCGTCGTAACCAGAGCTACCACAATGTGAACCAACAGGCACAAATAATCTTCATCCCATCGCCTTGCAGGTATTACCGGTCGGTACATATACCAGGTATAACATGGCATGTGATTGCAATAGTCCAATGCGTTTCTATCAGGTCATGTAAAGTTGAAATCATTTTTAATTGTTAACATTGTCAAGATGGAATTGATTTTGTACATTAATAAAATACTCGTGACTTTCATGACATACCACTGTGTTGATTTTTCACTGGACATCCCCAGCTGTATATACTACCTACTGTCGTAGTTTTCGAGTCGAAGGGCAGTATACTGAAGTCAAGTGAGACAGCACTGATTTGGCTCCTCTGCAATCACGAGTATCATCGACATACTGGTACCGTACTACAGTACAGACTGTACTACATACCGGTACTCCTGAGTACTGTAGTACCAGTACTTCGGAGTACTTTACAAACAATTATTTTAATAATTGTTTGTATTGTGCTTTGCACCTTTTTTGGCAATTCCAGGGTTAAATTCATTGTTTAAAAATTTCTCAGGCTTAAATAATGTCTAAAGTAACTTGAATAACGGTTGGGTGCGTTGTTTAAAGTTACTTCATCTATTGCGATGATTGGTTGGTTGAAGGTGGTTTTACAGGCACTGTCGTAAAACAAGTTGTTTGCCGTTTTCATTCTGGCAAACAACTTGCTTTACGTCAACATGTCAAGGTGCTTGACGCAATGAAACTGAAGGAGCTATGGCCACATATATGACCTCCCATCCGTGATCACTACAGTACTAACATTATCTACTCCGAGTAATGTATACAAAGTATAACGTTAGGGATATAGTTAGGCTACAGTACATGTAGTCGTCGCTCTGTCCAATGATTCAAAGCTATGCCATACCTTCAACTCTTGATCTGCTCTAACCTTAGCACTGTACGTGGAAGGCAAGGGCGCACTACGACTACACGATGTATAGTACTCCCATTTCACATATAATACGGTATGCATCGTGATGAACTGGTGGTTGTACGGCGTAAGTTGGCCTGGTGCTGCAACTCGATTAGTTAGCAGCTGAAATAAAGTAAGGGTTGTTTATTCTGCTGAAATGCAAAACTTGTGTTTAGCGTTGTTTTATCTTCAATCGGGTTTATATTATTTTAAAGGTCTGGTTGTTTAGCGCAGTTAAACAACGGGCAAACTACATGAAAAGCACAATACGTTGTACTATTATTAAAATAATAGTACAACGTATTAATAGTAGTAATATATCGTAAAACTGTACCGTACAATGTGATTGACACCATGTACTACTGTACCGTACTACGTTGTACTATTAATGCGCAGGTTTGAACTGTACTACAGTATTACATGTACTACAGTAGTACTAGGTATTACGTACTATTAGTAGTAGTTTTGTACTGTACTAATAGTACGAAGTACAACGTCGTATGTATAATTCCCTCATTGTAACCGCTCCAACTTGTTATTCTCAAAAAATATTTCAATTTGAGTGTTTATATGGAATTTCTATTCTCGGGCTGCATCACCTCTTGCTACGGTCTCAGTGGTTATCCACTGGCGATACAGTTAACCCCGGAGATTTAGCATTGTATGTACTGACAACCAACGGACCTGAAGTCTCGTCGAATGTAGTCGTCGCTCTGTCCAATGATTCAAAGCTATGCCATACCTTCAACTCTTGATCTGCTCTAACCTTAGCACTGTACGTGGAAGGCAAGGGCGCACTACGACTACACGATGTATAGTACTCCCATTTCACATTCTAATACGGTATGCATCGTGATGAACTGGTGGTTGTACGGCGTAAGTTGGCCTGGTGCTGCAACTCGATTAGTTAGCAGCTGAAATAAAGTAAGGGTTGTTTTATTCTGCTGAAATGCAGAACTTGTGTTTAGCGTTGTTTTATCTTCAATCGGGTTTATATTATTTTAAAGGTCTGGTTGTTTAGCGCAGTTAAACAACGGGCAAACTACATGAAAAGCACAATACGTTGTACTATTATTAAAATAATAGTACAACGTATTAATAGTAGTAATATATCGTAAAACTGTACCGTACAATGTGATTGACACCATGTACTACTGTACCGTACTACGTTGTACTATTAATGCGCAGGTTTGAACTGTACTACAGTATTACATGTACTACAGTAGTACTAGGTATTACGTACTATTAGTAGTAGTTTTGTACTGTACTAATAGTACGAAGTACAACGTCGTATGTATAATTCCCTCATTGTAACCGCTCCAACTTGTTATTCTCAAAAAATATTTCAATTTGAGTGTTTATATGGAATTTCTATACTCGGGCTGCATCACCTCTTGCTACGGTCTCAGTGGTTATCCACTGGCGATACAGTTAACCCCGGAGATTTAGCATTGTATGTACTGACAACCAACGGACCTGAAGTCTCGTCGAATGTATTTTTCGTAGTTTGATTCATCGGGGTCCCAGGTTATAGTGCTTCGGGCAAAACATAAGTATCCGGATGACAAAATTTCCTCACTTGAAACAGTATTTCGGGTCTAAGCAACAGTGGAGAATATTAATGAGGGAGTTATTCATTACTACTAGTACTCGAGTATGTCGAAAGTCGGGTTTGCATGGGTTACCTGATTGGTCTACCAGCTGCAATCGTTGATCATTTGGACAAATCAAAGCAATGCATTTGAATGAAGCGTATCTGATTGGATTTATATATAGTATTGAGATCACAGCTAGGGAGCGGATGTACTGTGTAGTACATTGTACACGTACAATATTGTATACTGTACATAAGTGTAGTGGTTGTCCGCAGATTATCCGGATTCCTTCGTGCGACTTTACAAGGTACTTATTGCCAATTCCGACATAGTAAGTTATTCGCACTTCTCGCACGCATGTAAGAGCCTGCTCGGGGGTATGTATAACTAGAAATACTATGCATATGTATAACTAGAAATACTATGCACGGGTCTACGAGCTACATCGAGCAAAGTACTCTTGAGTGCCTGCTACTGTATGCCCATCGGACAAAACCTAGCCTTGGTGGGCGAGAATTACGCGTTTGCAATCCTCCTCCCACATGCAGTATCGAATTCTAGCATCACGTACAGTTTCTAAACGTGTGTACCGTATGTACAGTTGTAGGTGGTTGCTTGTGGAAGTTCATACTACGTAGTATTTTACTGTAAGTTGAAGTCACTGCGTCCGGATGACCGTTATCCGTGCATTGAATTCCAAGTATACAAAGTTTAGTATATAAATCTCACGTACATACAATGTACACTAAATATTGTTGTATCGGTTCCCTATACAACGTTACAGTAAATTACAGTAGTACTAGACCGCTTTGCTGTCAATTACAGCAATATGACGTGGCACGTTCTGCAACGACAAATATTCATTGAGATGTACCGGTAGTGTATACGTATGTATGTGTAGTCTCCGCAAATCTAGTACTAGTACTCTGGAGTACTATTAATAGGACAGTACTAAAAATAGTATGGCCAAGCAACTGACCTGTAAAGAAGCACCAGAGTCAATCCTGCAAGCTCTTCATCATGTTCCCTGCTTCCTTTGGTTTGACCAAGTAAAAATTAATGAGGACATGTCAATTCCTTCCACGTATTAATAGTAATATATCATACTATTATTAATAGTACAGTAGTACAGTACTGTACTCCGATCCATGAATTATAATACTGGTACTACGTGGTATTAATAATACTGCATACTAGTAGTAGTAGTACTACTACGCCGCTCGAAATCCAACAAGAAACCCGACGCCAAAGCCACTGCCAGCTGGAAGACTATACTCGAGCACGTTGAGTACTTGGTCGTACACGACTTTGATGTCCGTCGAGTTGACTTTGCCATCCTACAAACAAGACCATGATCGATGCCACCGTCAATCATCGAGAGATGTACATGTATGTACCTTGTTCGTGTCCATCAAGGCAGTGATATCCTGCTGGAGCTTTGCATAGTTGACGTTCACGTAGCCACTGTAACTGGCGTACTGCATACCGACAAAGGCCGCCCCCACCAAGAACGCGCCGACCTTGGACACCTTCTTCAACGTGAACCCCGAGCACGCACCCAACGCAAACCCCCACGAGATTTGGTCGGCGTTTTCTCCCAGAAGGCTCACGTGCGTCTGCACTTGATCCAGGGAGGTCGGGAGTTGTTCAAGAGCTTTCTCCACGGATGCTTGAATCTTGGCCAAGTTGAACGTGTCGTGGTTGTCGTCGTCGTCCTTGTTCCCTGCACATTTGGCTGACGAGCTCGCGTCCATGGATGTGACTAGCCCCACAGGAAGCACCACGAACAGCCATCGTAGGGTAGATGCAGCCTGTTGATGTGCAGACGGGAGCGGCCTGCGAAGTGGGAATGAGGAAGAGTTCGACAAGTCCGAGCAACAATCACGTACATGGCCAGTTCCACAGCTCGCAGTTGAGAGGTGTTATGCTTGCATGAAGTCGATGCAAGGCGGGAGAAGGCGGCGCGGCTGAGAGCAGGAGCCGCTCGCCGACGAAGGACGTTCAACATGAAGGCAGGCCGTTGCAAAAATGACGAAGGAAGGAAATAAATACTCAAAGAAACGTGGTGTTTTGAACGCGTCAGATTGTGAATCGATAAAACGTGTTTTAATCTCGTAGGTGACGTTGACGGAATTCATCGAGTTTGCCGACCCGCCGTCGAAAGCGTCGACGTTATTGGAGCAAAAAGTGCTGATTGAATTATCTGGCTACGAGCATGCCGAAGGTCGCGTTGCGGCCATCTTTCACGAGTTTGACCCCAACGACACGGGTATATAAATAATATATATATATATCCCCTACCAAACCGTTCCCTCAATCGATTGTGTGTGATTGATCAGGTAAAAGGGTTTAACCTAAGGCGTCAAGTATTTTTTTTTCAAACGTCTTGATCGAGCCACATCCGAAATTTTATCCGGTCCGGATAACCTTAAAATAGGTGAAAGAATCACTTTCGGAGGCGGCATCGACATGGACCGGTTCGTCAAGTGTCCTTCATGCAAGGTGAACATCCCAAAGCAAGACCTTGTCGTGCTTGCGGGCGAAAGCGACGTCGTCTCATGCACTGTGTGCAAGGCCAAGCTCCCATCGCACGTGCTCTCTGCGACCACCACGTCCGCAGCCGCCGCGCCCAAGACGACCACCAAGCGACGATGGATCGAGCTCGTATCGAAGCGTGGTCGCACGTATTACCACAACAACGACACCGGCGAAGACCGGTGGGACGTTCCGCCAGACTTTGAAGTCGTGTCCACCGTCGCCGTCCATGCCGACGCGGCGCCGGCCATGGGTATGATGATGATTCCTGCTCGCTGACGACTTCTTCTGATCCACATACATATATATACCGGGAGTAGTCAACTTCAAGAACGACGATCCTGTGCGCAACGCCATCCTTCTACAGCAAAACAAGCGAGAAGCCCGTAAACAAGGCATCGCCGAAGACGTGATTGAGACGTTGGCAGCCAAGCAAGCCGCAGAGCAAGCGGGAAGTTCCCTGCAAAGCCAGCTGGCGGCGTTAGAAAAGGCGCAAAAGGCTGCTAAGAACAGCCAAGAAGCCACTCAAACAGTGCATACTCCACCACCAGTACCAGTATTGCCATCTACCCAACTGGACAAGCCGAAAACACGCCACGACGAGGCAAAGCCCTCAGAAGCTAGCTCGTGCACACTCATGTAATCCATCACGGTCGAATGTTTACGTATAGTTAAGACGTGATAAAAGTACTTGCAAGATAAACCAACGTCGAAAACCGTAAACGACACTTACTACCTGTGTACCTCCATTTAATAAGTATAGTATGTATAGAACGAGTAGTCGTACTACAGTTGTAACGGTGGGTGGCTGGCAATGGGAAAAAAGGTGTAAGCTTATGGTTACACGAGAATAATCAGGATGGCAACAGCATGAACGCAATGGATCAACCAATCATCCAAGCATTAGCTCGACTTGAACGATGGGCGACAGACACATGAGCTGGTAACGTTATACCGCTCCAAGGTCCTGTGCTCGTGTATCACTCGCCAGGCACGGGCACGCAAAAACGACTGGGTTGGCCATGCAACGAGCGGTCCCAACCACCCATTCCTTCACAAACCAACAATCACGTGATAGACTTGGCCAAAGCCATCGCTGGCCCACAAGACGGTAGTAATACGTCGTACCAGCGAGGATAAGTCCACGCACATGGATGCTGTGACGCTCCCCTCACGTGATTATGACTACATCCGAGTGTTGATCGTTATAATTGCATTCGATGTGCAACCCGTGCGCAGCCCTTCGGTATACCCTCCTCGATAATTCTACTCCATAGCATCCCCCCACGCTACATACCGGTACAGTACTGATAAAGCGCATTATCTAGAAGGATGCGAATGAGTATGTACTGTACATTGCATACTTGAGTGCGCTGTCTATCAGGCTGGGGGGGTCAATTATTGTGGAGGGGGGCTGTATAGCGTAGGCTTTATACATCAAGGGGGTACACACCGCTGCAACTGCAGCGATCCAAGCTGAGTGGTATACGCACATGGCCAAACGCACCAAATATCCCCCGCGGCGTGGATCAAGGGATGAATGGAAACCCAAGACCTTCAAAAGCTTACACTCACTCACGGATGATTCCTACTGTACATGTATTGCTGTCTGGGCTAGTAGACTACCGTCGTCGTAGTAACGTTAATTGGGAGACACTGGATGAAACACAATAATGTTAATTACAATATTATTTATAATGTATCCTTGGTTAAGAGGCACTGGTGGAAGCAGACCACATCAATCATTGTGTAGGTTCACCCGTTGTTCGATTACAGTTGGCAACGGACTGTCCAAACGGCGTCACACTTAAACCAGCCTCACTTTGAAAATACAAAGCCCAACAAACAACGATGAAGACGGTGGTGTGTCTTGTTCGAGGGAAACTGTGTCGTATCGATACGGAAGATCGTCAGTTCATGCCTGCCTTGAAGGAAATAATCAATACACAAACCAGATCGTACGCGTCGCTGTTCGTGATGGAAATGTACCTGATGAAGCCCAACGGCAAGTGGCTTAAGACGGGAGACCCTGACGCCCAGAAGCTCATGCGATTGAAGGTTCCGGCCAGCATCCGAGCTATGATGAGAAAGAATGGGGAGATGAATCTCGTCCCCTTCATGTCCGACCCTGCGTACGGCTTCCCCGATACAGAAGATGCTCGAGATGATGAAATTCACATCCTTGTTCAGGGCCAAAGGCCTTATTGTACGTTGCACCACCGTTTGTTTTGGATGACTAACCTCTTGTTTTGCTTGTGTTAGCCGTGTTGTACGGGTATGGCGAACCTTTTCACGTCACGGCTTGGTATTGGCTCCGTGACCTCTTTACGTCCACGTGTGACTCGGCTGCGAAATAGTAACACCCCCAAGTGAGCGTGTACGACGCCCAGTCGTCGTCGTCGAGGTTATATACGTATAGTTTGGAATGGTTGAAGTTATTTAGGCCTGTTCCAAGTAGATATTTTTAGCAAAATGAAAAATTGGTTCCAAGTACAGTTTCCTACTTTTTTATCTCTTTTTGTGCGTACCTCTTTTTTGTGCGATTTTTTCGCAACTCGCTATACCAAAAGTAGAAAAAGAGGTCCAAGAGGTAAATCGATTTTGATTGGCTCATGCTATTTCTGAAATCTACTTCGTACAACAAACACACTAACGTTTCAGTCAGCCAATCGAATGCATCGTCGAGATAACGTTATACGGCTCCATGGTCCTGTGCTCATGTGTCACTCGCCAGGCACGGGCACGCAAAAACGACTGGGTTGGCCATGCAACGAGCGGTCCCAACCACCCATTTCTTCACAAACCAACAAGCACGTGATAGACTTGGCCAAAGCCATCCCTGGCTCACAAGACGGTAGTAGTACGTCGTACCAGCGAGGAAAAGTCCACGCACATGGATGCTGTGACGCTCCGTCTAGCCGAAATGCAAACCACGAAGGTCGCTAACATCATGGCGAGAGGGGGGTTCAGGGGTGTTTGGCAGCGTATATATAATGCTGCGACAGGGTGAACGTTCGTGTCGTGGGTGTGTTGTGTATGGGGCTCACTGGACGAAAACAAGCACCGGGTAAATTTTGGACTTACAGTTAACTATGAGTCGGGGGGTATCCACATGTACTACTAGGAGTCTACAGTACCCCCTCACGTGATTATGATTACATCCAAGTGTTGATCGTTATAATTGCAGCGATGTGCAACCCCTGCACGGCCCTTCGGTATACCCTCCTCGACAATTCAACGAGCAGTCTGGACTGCCTGTCCATGAGATCTGCACTTTTAGCGCATTGGCAATCAGATTTTAGGGGTCCTCCATAGTATCCCCTCATGCAACATACCAGTACGGTACTGTACTGTAATTGTTAAAAGCGCATGCATACATACTCTAGAAGTATGCGAATGAGTATGTACATACTCTAGAAGTATGCGAATGAGTATGTACTGTACATTAGTGCGCTAACGGTACAGAATGCGCATTGTCTATTGGGCTGGGAGAGTCAATTATTGTGGAGGGGGGCTGTATAACGTAGGATTTATGCATCAAGGGGGTACACGCCACTGCAATTGCAGCGATCCAAGCTGAGTGGTATACGCACATGGCCAAATGAACCAAATATCCCCCGCGGCGTGGATCAAGGGATGAATGGAAACCCAAGACAGGGGACCTTGAAACAGCTTACACTCACTCACGGACGATTCCCACTTAGCAAAATTATAGATATGTCGGTGTGAGGTCAAAAGGCAGGCATGAACTGACGATCTTCCGTATCGATACGACACAGGTTCCCTCGAACAAGACACACCACCGTCTTCATCGTTGTTTGTTGGGCTTTGTATTTTCAAAGTTAGGCTGGTTTAAGTGTGACGCCGTTTGGACAGTCCGTTGCCAACTGTAGCCATCAGTGCATCTCCACCACATGTAACCGTCAAAGGCAGTTTCAATTCACCCTGCTTTTTTGTGTCGCAACACAACAATCAATCTTCAATTTCCAAACCTCTCGCAACCGAAAAAGTGGAGTCTCGAATCGCGACAGTAACCCAAACCGCCGATCGATGATAATGACCACGTATGTCTTCATCACCTAACGTTCACAGGGCCTTACAGTAGTACAATATACAAATTTGTGTGTGGTGGTACGTCAGTCTTATCAGTGCATATTGTGCTCGATCCAGTGTTTACCGGTAGTACTAGTACTTTACTGTTAACGTTTGTAAGTCCACTCGCTCACCTCATGATACTCTTAGTACTACTAACGTTAGTAGTAGGTGTGTTTCGTCCTATTAATATTAATGTGCTTTTCACCAATTTGCCCATTGTTTTATCGCTCTATTCAATGGATGACAAAATTAAAACCACACGTTAAACAACGCAAATCGAGAGTCTGGCACATGAGCTAACAGGGCGTGTTCGGAGCGACTTTTGTGTCAGCGGTTTTTGGCTTTTTCCACAAGCCGCTGAAATATCAGCGACTTTTTGCCTTCACTGACATTGGTTAATAACAAGGAAAAATCAACCAATGATGCGTCCTAAAATTCATTGTCCATTTTCAGCTCTATGACAGCGGAGCGCAGAAAATTGTTGTCGCGTAGTGGCTGTGGTGGCCAAATGTTCAGGCGGCGAGTGGCGAAACGACGTAGAGTAGATATAGCGCATGAGAACTATGTATCTACGCAAGTCAGTCGTAAGTCGGCGGCTTGGAAATATAGACTGCCACGCTAA